CATCCGCTCCGTGGATCTATGAGCCAGTACGCCCCGACTGGGATTCGAGTTTAGGGCTTCAAGTTTAAACTGGCCTAGGGTAAGCTTCTGTTAGGTTGGCTACTTTATAAGAGACCTTGAACCACAAACTGAAAGGAAAAGGGTACCACCGGGCCACCAAGCTAACCCTAAAACCGGGAGGATTGTGTCCTACTTCCAGCAACCCGGTCTGCTTAGCACCCGTTCACCAAGTGCCGAAGTCTCCCTAAACCTCCCTAAACCCTAAACCCTAAACCGCCTAAACCCTAAACTTTAACCCCTAAACCCAAAACCCTAAGAAAGAGGGAACAGGGGACTCTGAGCCCGAGTCCAGTCTTGATGCTTGCAAGTGAGGAGCTCCCCTTCAAGAGACAGCGCCGCGAACGCGCGTGCTGTTGAGAAAACCTGGGCGCAACTCGAAAATCAGCCGAAACACTAAAGCCTAGACCCTAAACCCTGAACCCTAACCCCTAAACCCTGAACCCTAAACCCTAAATCCCAAACCCTGAACCCTAGATACATGCCTCAACTCCTAGCCTACACCTTAAAATCCCAACCCTTACAAGGAGGGGCCCCCTAGTTATAAGTAGGGTTATAGGGGCCCTAAATTGGGTTATAAGGATCCTAACTTAGGTTATAAGTCCCTTAACTATAGCTAGCATAGTAAGCGGGCCCCTCCTTGTAGGCCATAAGTCTTACACGTGCAAATACACACACACACAATACGAAATCAACAGCCAAAGCAACACAAAATGCAACTGTGGCGCGATGCCGATGTCACAAGCCAGTTGAGTCTGGACCTGTATATCACGCCGCAGCAGGGCGCAGAGTTGTCTGGGGCTCGGGACCGGGTTTAGGGGTCTACAACTCTTAAGCTTCAAATTTTGGGGTCATAAGGGGACACGTATCACGATGGTTGTTCGGACCTCAAGCCCTACATCCCAAACCCACAAGCCCAGATTTAGGGTTTAGGGTTTTGATCCGAATCGAAAATGTCTTCAATTGGGTAAGGCCCCCCATTTTGGGGTGTAGGGTTTAGGGCCCCCACGTAATCATGGGGCCCTATCCGAGATCTGCAACCATCAGCAACAAGATCCACCAGCGCGCTCCCCACCGCCCATTCCCTAAACCCTACAACTAAAACCCTATAAACCCTAAAACCTATAACGGCCCCAAAAGACTGCCCAAGGCCCCGGAAGCAACAGCCGAGACTTACGCACAAAAAGCCGCCGAACAACTCCGGATTTCTATAAACCCTGATCCCTGAACCCTAAACCATATAAACCCTAAACCATATAAACCCTAAACCATATAAACCCTAAACCCTAAACCCTAAACCCTAAACCCTAAACCCGGAACCAGGGGAGTGCCCTTCATCATGGCTTAGAGATGTTTTGGTGTCACCGACACAAGAAATTAGAAACAGCAAGCTTAGATGAACGAACAAATCAACACGTAGACAAATCGAAATAAGCTTATGTGTATAACATAATGTAATCTAATCTGAGATAAATAGTATAATGATTATAGTTGAATTTAAGAGCATAACATAATATCAAATAAAAATATATAACATGCACATGTATACATATATAGATGAATCTGCATATATGCACATATATATATATATATGCATATGTGTGTATATATACAACATATATATATGGTACCCCCCCCCCATATGCCCACACTTTTTCCTCTCAGGTGCCATGGTAGGGTTTAGAGGCTTAGGATTTCGAAGCCTCCGAGGGCAGCGAGCACGAAAGCGCTCTACTGTACCAAAGTTTTAGGCCCAGAAGAGCAAAAACGCTGTACTGTCCCAAAAAAACCAATCTTTTTAAGCAAAAACAAGCAAAAATGCCGTACTGTCCCAAAAAACCAAAAAAACCAAAGTTTGGAGACCTCCAGGCCCTGGAGGAGCCCAAGGTCTCCAAACTTTGGTTTTTTTGGTTTTTTTGGGACAGTACAGCATTTTTGCACTTTTTGCCTTAAAAAGATTGGTTTTTTTGGGACAGTACAGCACTTTCGAGGCCTGGGACTGCAAAAACGCTGTACTGTCCCAAAAAAACCAATCTTTTTAAGCAAAAACAAGCAAAAATGCCGTACTGTCCCAAAAAAACCAAAAAAACCAAAGTTTGGAGACCTCCAGGCCCTGGAGGAGCCCAAGGTCTCCAAACTTTGGTTTTTTTGGTTTTTTTGGGACAGTACAGCATTTTTGCACTTTTTGCCTTAAAAAGATTGGTTTTTTTGGGACAGTACAGCACTTTCGAGGCCTGGGACTGCAAAAACGCTGTACTGTCCCAAAAAAACCAATCTTTTTAAGCAAAAACAAGCAAAAATGCCGTACTGTCCCAAAAAACCAAAAAAACCAAAGTTTGGAGACCTCCAGGCCCTGGAGGAGCCCAAGGTCTCCAAACTTTGGTTTTTTTGGTTTTTTTGGGACAGTACAGCATTTTTGCACTTTTTGCCTTGAAAAGATTGGTTTTTTTGGGACAGTACAGCACTTTCGACGCCTGGGACTGCAAAAACGCTGTACTGTCCCAAAAAAACCAAACTCTCTTTAAGCAAAAACAAGCAAAAATGCCGTACTGTCCCAAAAAAAACCAAAAAAAACCAAAGTTTGGAGACCTCCAGGCCCTGGAGGAGCCCAAGGTCTCCAAACTTTGGTTTTTTTGGTTTTTTTGGGACAGTACAGCATTTTTGCACTTTTTGTCTTAAAAAGATTGGTTTTTTTGGGACAGTACAGCACTTTCGAGGCCTGGGACTGCAAAAACGCTGTACTGTCCCAAAAAAAACAATCTTTGTAAGCCAAAACAAGCAAAAATGCCGTACTGTCCCAAAAAAACCAAAAAAACCAAAGTTTGGAGACCTCCAGGCCCTGAAGCAGCCCAAGGTCTCCAAACTTTGGTTTTTTTGGTTTTTTTGGGACAGTACAGCATTTTTGCACTTTTTGCCTTGAAAAGATTGGTTTTTTTGGGACAGTACAGCACTTTCGAGGCCTGGGACTGCAAAAATGCTGTACTGTCCCAAAAAACCAATCTTTTAAGCCGATTCATATTATTTTATACAGGAGTCCGATTGGTTTCTATTCATTTAGCAAGGTTCCTTCTCATTTTAAAAGGATTCCTATGAATTATAACCGGTTCTTTTCAATTTGGTAAGGGTTCCTATTCATTTTCATAGGCTTCCTATTAACTTTCACCGGTTCCGAAAAAATATTGGCAGGATTCCTATGAAGTCAATAGAGGATTCCTATTTATTTCTATAGGATTCCAATAAAGTTTCATAGGGTTCCTAATTCTTTTAATAAGGCTCCTACTAATGTAATCAAATTCCTATCAAGTTTAATCAGATGCTTATTCATGTTAATGGGATTCGTATTTATTTTAATAGGGATCTCATTCGTTTGAAAGGGATACCGATTGGTTTAGGCTCATATTAATTTTAGTAGGATTCCTACTATTTAGGGGTTCACACTTGTTTTTTATAGGAGTCCCATTGGTTCCTATTAATTTTAGTAGGGGCCCTCTTCAGTTTATTAGGATTGCTATCAAGTATAATTCGGTTCTACTTTTTCTAGGGTTCCTATGGATTGAAATAGAGGATTCCTGTTTTTCTGCGTATAAGATCCCAATACATTTCCATAGTTTGCCGAATTATTTTAATAAGGCTCCTACAAATGTATGATTCCTTTCAATTTAGATAGGATTCTGTCATTTGAATAGGGTTCCCATAGAATTTAATAGAATTAAGGGTTCTCATTCCTATTAATGGGTTTCCTTTTCATTTTTATAAGATTCCTATTGAAACAAGATGAATCCTATTGAACCCAATTTAATTTGATAGGAACGCTATTCACATGCATAGGATTTCTATTTAAACTCATAGCATGCAATCCACAATCTCGAGCAAATTGTTCAGGTCACTTCTGCTGGAGTTTTATGGGAGTTCCTCCCCGCTTTAAAAACCACCGCGGGTGGCGGAACGTAGTGTTTTTGTCTGGAAACCATGCTGAAGCGTGGGCGCATGGGGGGGGGGGTAGCATATATATATATATATAGTCTTATTGGCACTTTGGGATCTTTTTGCTAGCGTTGAGGGCATGGACTTCGGAGGTGTTTTCGCCCACCCCCCCCCCCCCCCCCCCCCCACCCCCCCCCCCCCCCCCACCACCCCCCCCCCCCCCCCCCCCCCCCCCCCCCCCCCACCCCCCCCCCCCCCCCCCCCCCACCCACCCCCCCCCCCCCCCCCCCCCCCCCCCCCCCCCAGAAAAAAAAAAAGGCCCAAGATCAAGAAGACCACAAATCCCCACCAAAAACCCTACTCATCCTGAACCCTGATGCCCTCCAAGCCGGGGGGGGGGGTTAGGGTTTAGGGATGAGGGTTTAGGGTTTAGGGTTTAGGGTTTAGGGTTTAGGGTTTAGGGTTTAGGGTTTAGGGTTTAGGGTTTACCCTGAGTCCCTCAAGCCTCTTCGGTGTTTGCGCCTGCAGAAGATGCAGAAGGGAGTGAGGGCGTGCATGCTTTTCTGATTTTTTCTTGTTGTGGGGAGGCGGGGGGGGGGGGGGGGGCTTAAAAGGGGTTTCTAGTGCTTGTAGGCCCTAAATCCTAAACCCTAGACCCTAAACCCTAGACCCTAAACCATTAACCCTAAGCCGTAAACCCTAGGATTAAGATTGAAGCTCTAGGTCAAGGGGCTTCAACCTTGGACGCTACAAGCAGGGTGTTCGGCTTCTGCTTCATCGGTGCGGTTTGGGGCTTAGGGCTTAGAGCTTGGGGCTTGGGGCTTAGGGTTCAGGGTTGAGGGTTGAGGGTTTAGGGTTTAAGGCTTAGGGTTTAGGGCTTAGGGTTTATAGGCTTCCGGGGTTTGGAGGTTTATGACGTCGGTGTTCCGGATTGGGGGCTTCTCTTGGATCGTTGGACCCGAGGGGGTTGTGGGCTTAGAGGGGCGCAGGTTAGTGCGAAAGTCCCGGAGGTGCGCCCCCTATGTAGCCCGAACCTCCCACATCTCGACCTCCCTGTTCTTATCACCCGATGCTCGTGTCTTGAGGCGCGCACTGTCTAGGTAGGACCTTGGCATATATCCCTTTCAGCGCAGAACTTTTCTTGGCGGCTTAGATGAATCTAGCAAGAAGCATCCCTTCAAGGCCAAAACCCTCCCCTCCCCCCTCCCCCCGCCCCTGCTCCCTAAACCCTAAACCCTAAACCCTCAACCCTAAACCCTAAACCATATAAACCCTAAACTCTAAACCCAATTACGCCGACCCGCCTGAACCAGCGTCGCCCCAGCAGACCACCTCGGAAACTGCACGAACTCTAGCCTTGAAGGTATGAGGTACCTAGCCTAGACCCGGGAGTAACCTGGGAATGAAAGGGTGCCCTTTTGGGTTTTAAGGGGATTATAAGGGAACCCCAACCCTAAAAAAAGGAAAAAAGGCCCTACTCCCGGTCCTAGTAGCTCTTTAGTTCGTTACTGAAGAAGCCAGTCTTCAGGAATTTAGGGTTGAAGGACATAGAAGAAGCCCGAAACCCAAAACCAGAAACCCTAAACCCAGAACCATAAGCCCTGAGCCCCAAACCCTCCACCCGAATTCCCGGAAACTTAGGACTCCACCCTATGAAGGGAACTCAAAGCCATAAACATTTTAAGGTTCAGGGTTTAGGGTTTAGGGTTTAATTAGGGTTTAGGGTTTAGGGTTCAGGGTTCAGGGTTTAGGGTTTAGGGCAAGTTGATGGTTGGTGCTGCTTAGTTATTTCGTTCGCAAGGCACCCTCCCATCGACTCGCTGCGCGGCGAAGGCGCGCTGCGTGGCGCATAGGAAACGGACCTGCAGCCAGCCGTTCGCAGGGGTTTGGGGCTTCATAAACAGGGTTGTGGGGTCAGGGTTAAGAATGTTCAGGGTTCAGAGTTTTGGGTTTGCGGTTTAGGGTTCCCAAGCTTAGGGTGTATAGAGTATTGCGGGTTCTAGAGTGTTGGATGGATGTTCGGGATATGGAGGGTTGCTTTAAGTGCAGGCTACGTAGGTCCGGTAAGCCCTGAACATAAAACCCGAAACCCACAAGCCCTGACCGAAATGCAAAAGGCCCGAAATCCAATCGACTCTGAAGCCTTAACTAATACTAATAATTGTAATAATATTAATAAAAATAATTAGGGTAATAGCAATAGTAATAATGATAAGCTGTAAACGTCGCAACCCTAAACTCTGTACCCAAACCCCTGAATGAAGCCAGAAATGCAGATGGTATGTTCCGCGGTGTTTCCTTGTGGCTTTTTTCTGACGCAGGGCCCTCACCCTAAACCCTGAACCCCACATTTTTGGGGGTCAAGGGGGGCTAGTTTTGTTGTCGAATATGCTGTCAAGGCAAGAGGCCATAAAACTCTGAACCCTCAACACTTCAACCGCTAAACCTCTAAACCAGAAACCCCTAGATCTAAAACCGAAACCCCATAAATCTCAAAACCCCAGACCCCTAAAAAAAACCCAAACCCCGAAACCCCTAAACCCCGAAACGCCTCCTTAGCGAATCCTCGAACCAATAAGACTCCTTAAGCCCTAGTGATCCCAAACCCCAAGACCACCAAATCTTCATCCTTGGGGTTAGGGTTTAGGGTGCAGGGATTCGGCCTTCGGGTTTAGGTTGCAAAGGCTTACGGTTTAGGGTTTAAGGTTCAGGGTGCAAGGGTTTAGGTTTAGGGTCATGCGTTTAGAGTGCTAGGGTTTAGGGGTTCAGGGGTTTAGGGTGCAGGGAGTAGGGTTCGGGGTTGGGGTTTCGGGACAAGGGTTCGGGGCTTGGGGTTTAAGGTTTGCCTCCAGACTCCAAAGCCACAAAACCCGGCACCCTTGATTTTTCAGGCCTCAAACCAAAAGCGCAATTGGGAAGGACCATGTGTGCCCTAAACCCTAAACCCTAAACCCTAAACCCTAAACCCTAAACCCTAAACCCTAAACCCTAAACCCTAAACTGCTTGTAAAGAGGCTCGTGTGTACCTGAACTTTGCAGTTGCCACGTCACTGTTCACCCTCCTTATCAGGAACCACGAACCTTCAAGCGTGATGGGAAGGTGGGGGTTGGATCGAAACGCTAAACCCTAAACCCCAAACCCCAAAACTCTAAAGACTTAGCCCTCAAGCCCTTCCTTTTTTCTGAGCCACAAGTCCGAAGACTGCAAAAGAACGCAACCCAAAAGTCTCATAGGTTCCACCCCAAATAGTCGGGCAATGACCTTCCCCCCCCCCCCTTTGGCACCTTGGTGATACTTGAGGGTGAACCCAAAAACCTTTTTGTCAGGGGTGACCCATCTAAACCCTAAACCGAACCCTATACCCTAGACCCTAAACCCTAAACCCCAAACCCTAAACCCCAAACCCTAAACCCTAAGTCGGTTCCCATGGAAAGCTGAAGCCATGCCTCCGTCAGCTGCTCGCAGATGGACACGCAGCGGCCGCCCCACTCTGGAACGCCCCAGGCAACAACGCCACCTGCGGCCCCCAAGCAAGGGATGAAGTGTCGCCTAGGCCCTGTTCAGGGTTTAGGGTTTAGGGTTTCGGGTTTAGGGTTTGGGGTTTAGGGTTCCCTAACCCCAAGGCCTCATGAGCTTTTACTTTCTGGAGCTCACTGCCGGGGAAGGTCTACGAATGTTGCTTGATTTAAGTGATTGTTTGGGACGTCACACTCAAGGACTGCTCAGGGTTTAGGGATATTGGGATGTAGGGATTTAGGGATTTAGGGATTAGGGTTTAGGGTTTAGCAGTATGTAGGGTTTGGGGGGTGACCAAACGGCATGTCTCCCCTAACAACCGTGAACCCCAAAAACCCTAAACCCTACCTAAAGCTCTGTAGTAGGGACCGCGCCGTCGGCGCAAATTGCAGCAAAGGCTGCCTCACCGGCAGCGATGCTGCGAAGCCCTCCTTCGTTTAGGGTATGAGGTTTTGGTTTCAGGGTTTGGGGTTTAGGGTTTAGAATTTGGGGTTTAAGGGGCGGGGTTTCGGGTTCAGTGTTAAGGGTTTAAGGCGTGGGGTTGAGGGTTTAGTGTTTGGGGCTTTGGGATTAGTTCGATAAGCAGTCAGCTCATGCACAGTCATATATTGAGAGTGACTGCTTGGAGTTGCAGGGCGCAAGCTTTACAGATGAGGTTTCAGGGATTGAGGCCTTCCTGATTAGCGCAACGAACGACTGAGCTGCGGCCTTGGAAGCGAACAAATAGTACACCGATCCTTCTCCCTTCTCCGCCCTCGTCCCGAGTAGGGTTTAGGTTTAGGCTTTAGGGTTTAGGGTAAAAGGGTTTAACTTTATGGACTAGAAGGTTAACGTGTTTAAGGGTTAAGGTTTATAGGGCAGCGAGCAGGCCCCCCCACCGAGCAGCGCAAGCGCAAACAAAAACACAGGTAAGCACGATTTCGACTCGCTGGGTCAGGTCAAGTGACGTGGCGCTGTGTCCAGCAACTGGACACGAAAGGAATGAAGAAAGGCGAAGAAAGAAGAGCCAAACAAGGGGAAAAGAAAGCAAAGGAGAGGGATGGAGGGAACGAGGGAAGGAGAAAGAAAGAGAACGATAAAGTCTTGTGGGAACGAGAGGTGGAGACGAGGAGAGAGAGGAGAAAGGGAGAAAGGTAAAGAGGAAGAGATAATAATTAGAGGGGAAAGACAGAAAAGGATAGGGAGATAAGAGTAAGGAACGACCCTTGCCCAAGCGACAAGGGTCTCTGTCGGGCACTTATCTCAGCTGCGTGGGAAGAGACCGGAGCTGCGTGGGAGGAGACCGGAGGGCCAACAGCCTGCGCCTTGTATCTCGGCATACCAAATCTGCACCTGCAGAGCTCATAGGCGGACGCGGAGCCCGCAGAGGAATCGTGGATAACTCAACGGGCCGGCCTTTGGCGTCCTTCTCCCGCACGCTGGCCTGCTGAAGAGGCCACACGTCCAAGTCGGCCCCACTCTCGCAAAGCATACATGCACACTTCGTCTTTGATGTGTGGTACGCTGACGCCTTGCTGCCGCAGCGAATCGAAGCGCCGCCGAGACTATAGGCTTTGTGGCATCTCTGACGCGCACACCTTTCATGGCGGGGAAGCGGCGGAAACACGAGACCACTTGGCGGAACCCTGCTCGTAAGCCAAGAGTTGCCCAGCCTTCCGCCCTCCATCCTCCCAGCAGCTTGTGTTTGCTGGGTGGGAATTTAGGGGTTTGGGTTTTCGGGTCAAGGGTTTAGGTTGGGTCTAGGGTTTAGGGTCTTGGGTTAGGGTTTAGGGTTCATAAAGTAGGGTTTTACGGTCTAGATTTTAGGTTTAGGGTGTAGGGTCTGGGTCCAGGGTTTAGGGCTGGGGCCTGGCATAAACAGCATCAGAGGGCTCAACGCAGGATCAAGCATTACACAAGAATTTCACAAGGGGCCACATTTAAGGTTTCGGCGCGCAAGGCTTCAGCTTTATTTCGCCAGCCAAGGCTATTGTACAGACATTCGCGAGAGAAGCATGGGCTGACCAGCCTGCCCCGTGCTGGGCTTCAGCTTGTACCCTGCAATTGGCACAGGATTATTGCTTTGAGCAGCAGCTTGCCGTTCTGAGCTGTATCATGGCTGACGATCATAGGGACAGCAGCTTGATTGAGCCCACAGCGAAACTTTGATGGATGACAAGGCAGGCGAGGCATTGCCACGCTGTTGAATTCTGATGAGCCCTTATCCTCGTGAATCAGTGAAGGGTCTTGGGCATTTTTGGGGAATGTTCCAAACACCGATCACGGCAGCCCCAAACAGCAAACATAGATGGACAGCCATCATAACACTTCGGACTGCACTGTTGCATCATTGCTGTCAAGCTTATTGCTTCGGAACAATCCTGAAAACCTGCTGAAGTTACTTGTATCCTCAACAACGCAAAACACAAATTGCCTGGATGCTCGGCCCTCCCTGCTGCATCGGTAGCAAGAGGCCCAACACCTCGGCTGGGGCCTGGCATAAACAGCATCAGAGGGCTCAACGCAGGATTAAGCATTACACAAGAATTTCACAAGGGGCCACATTTAAGGTTTCGGCGCGCAAGGCTTCAGCTTTATTTCGCGAGCCAAGGCTATTGTACAGACATTCGCGAGAGAAGCATGGGCTGACCAGCCTGCCCCGTGCTGGGCTTCAGCTTGTAACCTGCAACTGGCACAGGATTATTGCTTTGAGCAGCAGCTTGCCGTTCTGAGCTGTATCATGGCTGACGATCATAGGGACAGCAGCTTGATTGAGCCCACAGCGAAACTTTGATGGATGACAAGGCAGGCGAGGCATTGCCACACTGTTGAATTCTGATAAGCCCTAATCCTCGTGAATCAGCGAAGGGTCTTGGGCATTTTTGGGGAATGAACTCCACCGCGTCAGGTCCAAATATCGATCACGGCAGCCCCAAACAGCAAACATAGATGGACAGCCCTCATAACACTTCGGACTGCACTGTTGCATCATTGCTGTCAAGCTTATTGCTTCGGAACAATCCTGAAAACCTGCTGAAGTTACTTGTATCCTCAACAACGCAAAACACAAATTGCCTGGATGCTCCGGCCCTCCTTGCTGCATCGGTAGCAAGAGGCCCAACACCTCGGCTGGGGCCTGGCATAAACAGCATCAGAGGGCTTACTGCATTTAGGGTTGCGGCGCGCAGGGAAGAAAAAGCATTGGCCACAAAGTTGACTACGCAAGTGTCAAGCTTAAGGTTCACACACGGCATGGGGTTTTTCTTTGGGATGCATTGCGCACTTGACTTTGCCCCAAATACCCGTCCCCTTAAATAGCAGCCCCCCACCTGTTGTCCTTTCGTAAGCCGCGGTGGACATTGACACTGTTTCAGAAAGAGCTACTGCCACAACATGCCACAACAAGCATCGCAATCATTGTCAGGACACGATCATGCCCAAGTTATCTAGGGTTCAGGTCTAGGGTATAGGGTTTAGGGTCTAGGGTCTGGGGTTCAAGGTCTAGGGTGCAGGGTCCGCAGGTCTGGGTCCGCAGGCCCCCACCCGCCCCCCCGACAACCCCACCCCCCCCCCCACCCCCTACCCTCCGCCCCCCTTCCCCCCGCCCCCCTACCCCCCCCCAGCCTACCCCCCCCCCCCTACAACCCCGCAAGATGGACACAAAAAGGCTATGCTGCACGTGCGTGCCTTGTAAACAAATACTTTGTGACGCAACGCGCCGCAGAATAGACGCCCAGTCTCCGCGGAGCGGGCGGAGGGCGCGGAGGACGCGGAGGGCGGGGAGGGCGCGGAGGGCGCGGAGGGCGCGCACGGTGTTCGGTGACTACCCCAGGCCCATCGTCTTGTCCGCGTGTGACTCTCCTGCCCATCGACCGAATGCTCCCCGTCCGCGCTCCCCCCCATCCTTGTTCGAACCCGTGCGTCAACCTGACATCCATCGCCACGCCCCTCTCCCAGCAAAATGTTCCGACCCCCCTCCCTTGACCGTGTCGTCTCCGTGGCCTCCCGTCAAAATTCATTCCGTCATCCCACCGTCCTCCGTTGACCGTCTCCTCTTCGTGGCCTCTTTCGCCAGAAAGCGATCCGATAGAACGCCTTCCGCGTTGAAGCGCCAAACAAGAACCCAATCCCAGAGAGGTTTGCGAAAACAAAGAGCACGCGCAGAATAGACGTTAAGTGTCAACCCCCCCCCTACCCCCCTCCCCCACCCCCTACCCCCCCCGCCCCCCTTCCCCCCCCCACCCGACCCCCCCCCCCCCACCGCCCCCTACCCCCCCCCCTACAATTGATGGGCTGCCCTGCCTTCAAGCTGGCTTCAGCTCCTGTTTCGGTCCCAACGTTTCCCCGAAACTCAAGCACATCAACTTTTTTGGCATCCTTTGCGCTGACGAGCGCGTTTAAACCTTTCAACTATGCTCCAGCTGGGGCGGCGGCTTGAGCCGGAGGCTCTTACATTTAGGGTGCATGGTCTAGGGTGTAGGGTTTAGGGTTTATAATTAGGGTTTAGGGTCTCAGCTTAGGGTCTAGCTCGGAGCGTTCTGCTTTCGGAGCTTACTGGACTGGTGACTTCCACTTCTGCCGCAGCCTAGCCCAGGGCTGAGCTGCTTGCTTGCAACGCCACAAAGTGTGGTCGCAGAGGAGACAGCCGGGCTGCACAGACAGCCGAAACCCACCCGTGAGGCTTTGCTGCAAAGCTTCCGCAAGTCTGCAAGTGGGGTTGTCCACGATGTACTCACGCAGCACCCGCTGGAACTCCACCATGACAGTGTGGAAGTAAATGCCGGCAGGAGCGATTTTGTCGCCGGACTGTAGAAAACTAGACTGTCCCATTCCATGCCCGCGCGGAAGCCTGTCTGACTTTCCGACGCAAATGCTTATCGTTGAAAGGTTTTGAGCGCCACTGCTTTGGCGTCTACCCTTCTAGGTACTCCTCGAAGACTCGCGAGAAGATGTGATTCAAATAATGAATCTTTGGGCGCAGCTTAAGTAAACATAGCTCGGCCGAGTGGCGCAGCGCCACAAGCCTAGCATAAGATAGCAGGAAGTTGTGCCCATTCTGGATAACAGTTCTGCAGTCCACACTGGACATGAAAACTCGGCTCTGAAACATGTTTTTTGACAGCCTGGCCCATTGCAATTGCAGCACGCAAAATCTCAGTCAAGATTCCCTAAGGGTCCATGTACCTATATAGTATATACTTGGCCCCTAAAGCTACTATATAGGAACCCCTTTAAGGCCCAAGTATATACTATATAGGTACATGGACCCTTTGGGATTTCGTCAGCTGCAACTTGTTCTTGCACGGGCTCCTGTTGCAATAGATACACCAGGAACTTCATGAATGTCGCCGCGTCCATATTCTTGCTCCACTTGCCCTCGGGATAGTCCCGTGTGCCATTGTAACCAAGCAGGTCCTCTGTCAAGCTGCCACAGTGAGTTCGGGTTTTGAACCGTCGCATCCAATCTTTCAAGCATGAATTCAGTGCTCCCAAGCCGCACTGAGTTTTTCGGCCGTGCAGGGTCTTCATGGAATAGATGAAAGCGCTAGCGGCAAAGTCCTTGGCGACACGGGCATGAAAATGTGAAAGGCATCCGTCGGCATATACTGTAGCAATGCGCAACCAGCGCCTAGTTTCGTAGTCTGAAGCCAAGCTGGTTCGAGGAACCCTAAATGCTCAAATGGGATACGCAAGTTTTCTTGCGGCACGTCGTGTCCAGCGTGACACAACCAACAGCAGCCCTTTTGGACATTCTTCGAAGAAGCTGTCTTGCGAACGTTATTGAACGAGCGATTCATCGCCCCAACTTTCTTCACGAAGGGAGAGTCCCCCGTAAAACCCAAGATCACAACACGCCACTTGGAGCCTTGAACTTGAAACCCATCCACCAGCAGGCTGGCAAGCGCACGACCCCAGGTTTGCATGAGTCTGCATGAGGTCCTGGAAGATTCCGGGGTCGGACTTGCTCAAGAGACTGGTGACCACAGCGAATAGGAATCGTGTTGCCCCTGACTGCCCTTGAAGGTTGATTCCCATTTCCGGAATGTCTTCACGTTTACGCTTTGCGGTTATATTCACTGGTCCGTGCCTATAGAGCCACTTCCAAGCGCTGGGAACATAGCCAGAATTTCAATAGGACCTTTCTTAAAGCCTCGGCCTCCATCACCATAAAGGTAAAATAAGGGATGCATCTCCTGAGGTCTTGACGGAAGACTTCATGCCCCGGATGTAGCTTGCCGAACCTTTTCCAGAACAACCCAAAAGGCTCTTCTGCCAAATCACTGGGAACTCCAAGCACGCGGTTGAAGGTTTTTGACTCAAGACCTCCAGCAAATGCCTAGGGTCGATGTAGGGGTAACGTTCCTTTTGGCCAGCTCGAGTGAAGCTGATTGGAAGCCCCAGGCCATTCGCTCGAAATATCCGATATAATAACGGCGCATCAGCAGAAAACAAAGGCGGGAACAGCACGCGTCGGAGACACCGCAAGATTATAATGGAATCACTGACAGCAGTTACTGTGTGCTTGCTAGGTTCGCTGTAGGCTACCGATGCTGCTTCACCGAGATCAAGAACCAGTGCACGCACCGCATCATCCTCACGTCTATCTTGAGTAGGCACGATGTGAGTCTATTAAATTGAGGTCTGCTGACAAAATGAAAATCTAGATATCGGAGAAAACTTCAAATCAAGCCAGGCACTTCCCATAGCGACCACTTCCTCTTCAGAACGGTCAGCATGGCCTTTATAGCCTTTGCACTGTTGCTTTACGCTTCGACACATCCTGCGTTTCGCTTCCTTGTCATCCTTCTCCGGCTCGCCCACCTCCTCGTGCATTTTCTCATTTTCTAGCTCATAGAAACGTAGCGCCGCTTCCTGGATGCTTTCCAGTGTTTTCTTTATTCGTCCCTTTTCCGCCATAATACGGGTGATCGGGCTGAGAACCAGAGCCTTGAAGGATATGTTTGCAAGAGTCGGTGCAGAGTAGCTTCTGCCCTTGGTATCCTGCACTAGCATCGCCCGCGATCGCGCACGTTTGCGCAGAGAGCGATGGCTGGGACACATGGCAAGAAATCCAACCCCAACCCCATTTCGGCACGTGCTTTCTTGAACCCTAGACAAACTGCGATCACGGTTTCTGTAGCTTCCTAGCTGTACATGTGACTACACGCACTGCTTTATTGCAGGGGGGGGGGCCACCTCTTCACGCAGCTCCGAGACGCCATTCCGCTTCGCCTGGCTTGTACAGAACCTAGCTAGTTGAATTCGTGAAGGGCCTGTGAAAAGATGGGCAAGGGAAATCATGCCAGGCGTGCTTTGGGTTCTGATCATCCCCAGAAAAGGCAGGCCCCGCGAAGTCCAGGTGTTTGGTATTTGTGGTCTGCACAGCTTCTGCAAGCAGAACAAAACATGGCACATGCCATGAACTGAAAACAACGATAGGCGCGGACAAGCAGAAAAAGTGGCTAAGCAGGGACGCAGAGCGGGAAATCCAAAGAGCGGAGAACCAGAAAAGCGGAAGCGGGCAGAAGAGACCACGAGCGGAAAAGCGGAGAAGAAGAAAGTGGAGAAGCAAAACCATTAAGGTGAGACAAGAAGCGCGGAAGCAAGGCAACAGCAAAAACCGAAAAGTAAACAAGAAACGGCCAAGGCGGAGACGGAAACAAGAAGCTCAAAGCAGCAAGCAAAATCAGGAGACAACCCAGAGGGTCCATTTGTATTACTATGATGGAATTAGGTACCCAAAAAACCATACTGAATAGGGTTTTGGGGTACCTAATTCCACAATAGTACTACAAATGGACCCTCTCGGCAAGTTAAAGGGAGAAAACAAAACGAGGCAAGAACAAAAAACGGAACGCGGAGATCGGAAAGGAAAAGTTGAAACAAACAGCGTAAAGCCGATGGGAAACAACACAGCAAGGCAGGCACACACGCGCACACACACACACACAAAAAAACAAAACAGACAAGCGCAAAACTAAAAGCAAAACAAGCCAAAGACATAAAAAAAAAAGAAACCAACAAAAACAACCACACACACACACACATAAAACAACAAAAAACAAAAACTCAATACTTTAGCGCCGCCCAAACCGTAAACCTAACTTCCTAACTCCGAACCCCTAGACCCCGTAAACCCCTTAACCCAAACCCTACTTGGAGGTTCATGGCACTACTAACCAATTATAACTCTACTTCTAGCTGTACTTATAACCATATTGGGGTACTTAAGGGGGTTATAAGTGGGGGTTACTAAGTACCATGAACCTCCAACTAAACCCCAAATCAAAAGAAGATCTGCGGGCAGTCCTCGTCTCAACACCTCTGCTGCAACGCCAACGCCTTTGCATCTGCATCCCTGAACCCTGCCCCCCCTTGGGCATGGGTTTCCCTACTATATACTAGAGTTTGGGGTTTAGGGTTTAGGGTTTAGGGTATACGGCCCCCTTGAGAGTTTGTACTCTCAGGTGTTAGGGGTTTAGGGGCTGAATGGGGCTTATGGGGTTTGAGGGGTTTAGGGGTTTATGGGGTTTAAGGAGTTTAAGGGGTTTAAGGCCTTTAGGGGGTTTTGGGGGTTTAAGGTGCTTGCTGCTTAGGGATTAGGGGAAGAAGCATGGCAGGTACCTTCTTTCTTTATCATGATGTGCAATTGTTCCCCCTTCTTCTCAACGACAAATACTCAAACCCAAAACCCTTTAAACCCAAAACCCCATAAACCCTAACCCTAAACCCTAAACCCCAAACCCCAACCCTAAACCCTAAACCCTAAACCCTAAACCCTAAACCCCAAACAATCAACCCTGCCGCCGGATTTCCAGGTTTGGGGTGGTTTAGGATTTAGGGTTTAGGGCTTATAGGGTTTAGGGTCTAGGGTGTAGGGTTTAGGATGTAGGGCTTAGGGTTTGGGGTTTGGGGCTCGGAAGACCAGAGGCAGGTCCCTACTTCTCCAATAACCAAGGGAAAAAAGTTGAGGTTTGGAGTTTAGGGTTTAGGGTTTGGGGTTTAGGGTTTAGGGTTTGGGGTTAAGGGTTTAGGGTCTATTCCTACAAAATAAGGAAACCCAAAAAGTTTAACGTTCAGCTATTGGAGAAGGATCGCTGACTAAGTATAGGGGCATGTTGCGGTATGTATATTAGTCTAGTTTAGTTGCTGGGAATGGTATTATAAGGTGGGCTCCCTGTATTTGCAACCACGAATTCAAAAGCCCAAAAACCTAAAACCTCGAAAGCCCTAAACCCTAAAACCCAAAAGGCCTGAAACCCAAACCCCAAAAAGCTAAAAGCCCCAAAACCCAAAACGCGAAAGCCCAACCCTAAAGCCCTAAACCCTCCATTTCTCATGAACCTTGAAGGAAAGAGTCCGGAAAGCCACCTGGCCCTGAAGTTTGCCGGGTCGACAGGAACCCTAAACCCTAAACCCTAAACCCTAAACCCTAAACCGTAAACCCTAAACCCTAAACCCTAAACCCTAAACCCTAAACCCTAAACCCTAAACCCTAAACCCTAAACCCTAAACCCTAAACCCTAAACCCTAAACCTAGACCCTAAACCCTAAACCCTAAACCCCACACACCCCAATTTCTGGGGGCTTTCGTGTCTGGTCAGTCCTCAGAGTTGTGGTCCCTTCTCAGGTGAATGATAGGGGGCCGCCATATAATATAATAAGGACCCCAAACCCCCAAAACCTAAACTAACCCTAAACAACCTAGACCTTATACCCTAAACCCTAAACCCTCAAGCCCCCTGTAACTTGAAATTATTATGAAAATCCAAAACAGATTCTCCTCGAAACTTCCCCGGACCTGAACCCTTAATAATTTCAATAAACCCTCAACCCTAAACCCTAAAACCCTCTATGCCAGACTTAGAGCCAAGCGCTGCCGTGAGGCTGCTCCCACCATTTCGAGCGTTGCCCCAGGTGACGAGGCTTCCTGGCTTTCGGGGATTATCGGGTTTATAGGGTGAAACGGGTTTAGGGTTTAGGGTTTAGGGTTTGGGGTTTAGGGTTTAGGGTTTAGGGTTTAGGGTTTAGGGTTTGGGGTTTGGGGTTTAGGGTTTAGGGTTTAGGGTTTGGGGTCTAATCCCGAACCCTGAACCCGAAAAAACTACACCCGAAACCCTGAACCCTAAACCCTAAACCCTAAACCCTAAACCCTAAACCCTAAACCCTGAACCCAGGGTTTTGGGGCTCGAAATTCGTTTCAGGAGGCCGCAGGCGCAGCGTGCGCCCTGGTGACAACAGGCTGTGGGTTCTCTGCATTCAGTTGAGGGCAGGGTTTAGGGTTTAGGGTTTGGGGTTGGGGTTTAGGGTTTAGGGTTTAGGGCTTGAGGGTTGGAGAGTCTCTGCAACACCCCTCAACCCGAAACCCCAAATCCCGAACACGAAAGCAAACTAAGCCCAAAAAGCCAATGTACTCGGCTCACTCCACTTGGTAGCCAGTAACCATACTACCCTTTTGGGGTTGGTTGCTTTATAAGGAGAACCCAGAAGCCCCCCCCCCCCCCCCAAAAAAAAAAAAAAAAAACAAAGGGCACTCAGTACAGGACGTCTAGGTTCACCCCCTAAACCTACTAAACCTACTAAACCTACTAAACAAACTAAACCTGCTAAACCTACTACACCTACTAAACCCTAAACCCTAAGCTTAGACCTGTTTAGTTCATGGAGTTCGCCATAGGGACCCAATGAGACCCTACAACAAATAGGAGAAGGGTGCTTTTCCCGGGTTTGTAGGGTTCAGGGGGTTTGCAGGGGTTGTTCGCTTATAGGATTTATAGGGTCAATAGGGCTTCGGGTTTCTTGTAGAATGATTTGCCGGGCATCGCAATCGGAGTTGCTGCCGGGAGGCCATCTTTCATGAAGGCAGCGAAGGCCGAGTGGGTGGAGTAGATGTCCCTGCGTTTAGGGTTTAGGGTTTAGGGTTCCGGTTCAGGGTTCAGGGTTTAGGGTACAAAAGGGCTCGGAAGAATTACTAATAGTATTCCTCTAAGGTCCCTAACATAAATATACCATTGTTTCCCCCCCAAAGACCCTATTCTAGTGGTTAAGGCCCCTAGGGTACACGCTGGGAGTCTCATCATGTTCAGGATCTAAGCTTCTAAGGCTATTTAGAGCCTGCCAGGCTTTGGGGATGTGTCGAAGATTGCGCAAGCTGAAATCCCCCCTCAAAGCATGGGGTGGTGGTGGGGGGGGGGGGGGGGGGGGGTAGCGAAAATTATGGTCCCTTTTGCGGGTAACTTGAACATAATGATCCGTGCTGTAGAACATGCACCGCCCGATTTTGGGGAACCGTCTTCAGTTCGTGCTGCCGAAATTCTAGGGAACCTGAGGGAACCTTAGGGAGCCTTAGGGAGTAGTAGGGAGTATTAGGGAGCCTTGAGTTACACCCTCAACCTTAAACCCTGAACCCTAAACCCGAGTAGGCTGTAGATCCACTTACGCATCCTGCCTGATGAGTTGCCGTCGAAGGTCGGCTACCACCTCAGATGGTCCGGCTCTTCGCAGTAAACCCTAAACCCTAAACCCTAAACCCTAGACCCTAAACCCTAAACCCTAAACCCTAAACCCTAAACCCTAAACCCTCGACCCTAGACCCTAAACAGGCCCTAAACCCTAAACCCCACACCCTAAACCCTAAATGCCCTAAACCCGCACCCGAGCCCTTTGCCCCGATTGCTAGGCATCAGCCGAATTCTGCTGGCAGGCTTGCCCTGAAGTTAGTAAGCAAACAGAGCCGCGGTCTAAGGTTTGGGGTTTCAGGGCTTAGGGTCCGCAAACACCCAAAGCTCAACAAGTCCGATCCACAACACCAGTTCCTCTTCACCCTAAACCATAAGCCCTAAACTCTAAACCCTGAACCTAAACTCTGACCCCAACCTTTCAGAGTCCTAACAGAAGCCCACAACCTTTCGTTGTCCAGAACCCTTGCAGCCCCTTGGCTTACTTTTTCTCCTTCTGCCTCACCACCCCCGAAATAGTACCTTAAACCTTATAAACCCCAAACCCTAAACCTTAAACCCTCAACCCTAAAGCCTATACCCGAACCCTACCATTGGGCTAGGAGCACTTCAGGGTATCTATTTTTGGATCCTGCCAGGGTCTAGGTACTCCATGCCTGCGTCTCCTCCTCGCTACTGCGGCTGAGTCCGTTTTGAGGGAGTAGAGTTTTAGGGTTGGGGTATTGGGGATCACGGTCAAGTGCTTTTGCAGCGCAACTAGAAAAAACAACCCTAAGCCCTAAACCCTATAAACCCTAAACCCTAAACCCTAAACCCCTAAACCCTGAACCCTAAACCCCAAACCCTAAAATGAATGGGAGATAGGCAGCCCTAGACGCGTCGCCGCCATCTACGCTGGAGCCCCAGGCGACCACGTCGCCGTCCTGGGATTAGCTCAGGGCCGTAAGCACCCTAAACCCTAAACCCTAAACCCTAAACCCCAAACCCTAAACCCTAAACCCTAAACCAACGGGAAAATAAGGAATTCAGGGTTCCTTTCTGGTGCCTTTAAGATCCTTTAAGGGAATGTAGGGCCCCTAGTTCCCTACAGTTCCCTACCGCCTACCGCTCCCTACTGAGAGGTAGAAAGTTTAGGGCTTTGTTGCCAAGACGGGTTTAGGGTTTAGGGTTTAGGGAACTTAGGGCATTCGGGCTTTTCGTGCATTTTAGCTTTGGTGGGGCTTCAGGTCTTTCGGCAGTAGGAAAACCCTAAACTACTATTTGCTTAAAAGGCACCTTTTTGGGGGTGGTTGATAAGGGAACCTTGAACCGAACAAAAGGGAAAAAGGCTACCCTAAACCCTAAACCCTCAACCCTCAACCCTCAACCCTCAACCCTCAACCCGTCCGAGACCCTGAGTAGTCCTACTTTATCAACTGCTCAGAGCTTGAAGGTACACCTTCGAGTGCCACAACCTGAAATCCCAACAGCCCTGAACCTTGAAACCCCTGAATTCCATGAACCCCAAAGCCCAAGAGAAATCCTACAAACCCTGCAAAGCCTGTAAACCCTACAAAGCCCACAAACCCTATACAAAAAGCCGTACAAACCCTACAAACCCTCAAACCCTAAACCCCTGGCAGGCCTCCTTGATCGCCACGAAAGCGCCTCTGCGGGTTGAGTTGAGGAGGGCTTGTTTCAGAAGGCACCAAACCCTGAGCGACGAAGTCGCTGCCCTCCGTCATTCCTAAGGCCTTTAGGGTTTAGATTTAGGGTTTAGGGGCGTCAGGGGTTAAAAGGGGTTCGCCGACCGGATCCGTGGCGCGCCCCTCAGATGTCTATGCGCCATAGAGAATGCGCATGGTGCGCGCGAAATGATGCTCTGTGCTGTGGGTACCCTTGTTCAAGTTCGGGGTTTCAGGGGTTCGGGTTTAGGCAATTCTCAATCGCAGACCCTTAAATCCCCAAAACACAGGTTGAGGGGTCAAGGGCTTTAGATTTTAGAGAGGAAGCTGTGTGAGAGCTCAGGCCAACCTAGTGTTCAAGGTTGAAGGTTTAGGGTTCGGGGTTTCGGCTCAGGGTTGCATCCATCCAACTTCTCTGAACTCTACCGTAAAGACCAAAAACCTAAACCCCCAAAACCTCCAGCCTACGTGTTGAACTCGATGCTGCATTTCAGCTGCGCAAGCTGCCGCAATGAGGTTTAGGGTTTAGGGTTTAGGGTTTAGGGTTTGGGGTTTGGGGTTTGGGGCAATGATCTTGTCTCGATCAAGAATCATCCGCAAAGAGCCCAGATGTGCGCCACGATTTCTGGCATACTGAGCTCGATCACTGTGGCGGTCTCAAGTTCTATGCAGACATAGGGTTTAGGGTTTAGGGTTTAGGGTTTAGGGTTTAGGGTTTAGGGTTTAGGGTGTAGGGTATAGGGGACTGAGCTCGTGGTCTCTCATCTCGTCGAAGTCTACACGGGCAAAAATGCAAGCCCCGTAGAGGTGGTTGAGGCTCGCCGTGGCCTCTGTGAAAAGATACTTGGAGGTTCATGGTACTTATTGACCAATTATAACTGTACTTATAACCCACTTATGAGCCCCTGAAGTGCCCTAATAAGGTTATAAGTACAGTTATAAGTACAGTTGTAATTGGTTAAGAAGTACCATGAACCTCCAAGAAAAGGTCCTCCTCGAACAGGCTCTGGATTTCTGGACACTCAGTCGTGCCCTCGAGCGTGGAATTGCAGCTCCCGGAATCAAGAGGGCCACTTGGCGATAGGTTCGACCGCGCACGCCACATCTTGAGGATGTGCAAGGGCGGTGCTTGCCAAAGCATGAACTGTCGACTCGGTCAGTTCTCAACATTATGGTGCCTTTTGGGGTTGCCACTACAAAGCCCAAGAGTAACCTAGGAATAAACACGGTGGCCTGTTTGGTTTAAAGGGCTTACAAAGAAGCCCAAATCACACAAGGGAAAAAAAAGGCTTACTCTGAGTCCTGTTGCGTCGGGTACCCAAATTTACTCCGGCAAAGGCTCGTAAATCTCATCCTCTTCAACCCAGGGGGGGAATCTAAAGCTCTAAACCCTAAACCCTAAACCTCTCTTTCAAATATATATTTAAACCCTATAGTCCTTCGTGGCTAAGGGTCATTGCTAAGGGTCATTTCTTCGTGGCTAAGGGTCATTTCTTGGTGGCTAAGGGTAATTTCTTCGTGGCTAAGGGTAATTTCCTTCGTGGCTAAGGGTAATTTCTTCGTGGCTAAGGGTAATTTCTTCGTGGCTAAGGGTAATTTCTTCGTGGCTAAGGGTAATTTCTTCGATGGCTAAGGGTGATTTCCTTCGTGCCTAAGGGTAAGGGCCCACCCCACCCCCCCCCCCACCCCCCCCCACCCACCCCCACCCCCCCCACCCCACCACCCACCCCACCCCCCCCCACCCCCAACCCTTTTTCTTGTAATGCTCATCTTTGTGTGACGCAATGCGGATTTTTAAGAACGAATTTGTTCTGTAGCCGTAGTCTTCGTTGAAAAGAACTCTTGTATGAAGATACTTTATATGGTTTCTTAATGTTATGGGATTCTCTGGGTGGGTGGGTGTTATATCCAAGCCGTAAATATAAAACTACCATAAAAATGCTCGATCCGGAGCTGCTGAACCCTAAACCCTAAACCCCAAACCCCTAACCCTATATAATCCCTGAAGCCTAAACCCTAAAACGTTTCAATTAGCGTCCCCACCTTTGGTCGAAAAGATGTGCTGCACGCCCTCCCGCCTCGGCGGGGGTTCGCGAGATTGCCGGGAGATTTCAGGGCTTGGGTTTAGGGTGTCTGAACCCTAAGCCCTAAACCGTAAACCCTAAACCCTAGACCCTAAACCCTAGACCCTAAACCCTTCCTAAGGTACTCCGCAGGGGCTTGGGTTGCGAAGACGAGCTCACAAGCCTGTAGGACCCTCCCGCAGTGAGAAATTGTCCCGGAGAGGGTGGTCCTAAAAAAGATTAGAGAATTGACCATACGATCTTTTCCAGGATCCGGTGTCTCACCATCCCAGCAGTAGTGCTGCTGCTGGCCCTTCCATGCAATGGATACTGGGACCCTAAACCCTAAACCCTAAACCCTAAACCCTAAACCCTAAACCCTAAACCCTAAACCCTAAACCCTAAACCCTAAACCCTAAACCCAATGGATACTGGGAGTTTCAGGGTACTTGTAACCCCAACTATAACTGCACCTCTAAGTGCTGTAAGTGGGATATAAGTAGATGTATAAATGGGGATGTACAGGGTGGGGCCCCCTAGTTATAAGTAGAGTTATAAGGGCCCTAAATTGGGTTATAAGGACCCTAAGTTAGGTTATAAGTCCCTTAACTACAGTTAGTATAGTAAGGGGGCCCCACCCTGTAGGTACTCATGAACCTCCAAGTATATGATACGGATGCGTGAAACTCCACCCCCCTCAACCCTGAAACCCTGAAACCCTAAGACCCTAAAACCCTGAAACCCTAAAACCCTAAAACCCTAAAACCCTAAAACCCTAAAACCCTAAAACCCTAAAACCCTAAACCCTAAACCCTAAAACCCTAAACCCTAAACCCTTAAACCTTAAACCCTAAACCCTAAACCCCAGCAGCAACCGGTACCGCGGCCCAGCCAGATTCGCTGCTGGAGCTGGCGTTTCTGGTCTTCTGTCTGAAAAGGGGGGCATAAGGCAACTATTTCCCTAATTTAGGGTTTAGGGTTTAGGTTTAGGGTTTAGGGTTTAGGGTTTAGGGTCCTAATTTCCCTATTTCCCTAATTTCCTAATTTCCCTATTTCCCTATTTCCCTTTCTCCCATTTTCCCTCAAGCCTACAGCAGCCTACATCCCTATTTCCCTAGACCCTAAGTCCTTATTCCCCTACTTGCCTGAACCCTAGTTAAGTCTTTATTTCCCGATTTCCCTATACCCTAAATCTTTATTTCGCTACTAACTGCCAGGCACCGACCCGAAAACATGGGCCAAGCCCATCTTTAAGGGGACAGGTTCACAGCTTCTGGCTTGTAGGACTTCCGGGTCTCGGGCTTAAGTTCTCGCAGAAGAACACCCAAGCAACCCTAAACCCTGGATCCTAAACCCTTTTTAACCCTCTTGACCCTAAAACCTAAAACCCTGAAACCCAAAAACCCTAAAACCCTAAAACCCTCACCAAAAAACCTAAAACCCCAAAACCCTAAAACCCTAAACCCTCAACTGGCGACCTGCTCTCCAATTGCCCGCGATCTTTGCGGCCGCGGCGCAACTGATGGGCCACACCGGAAGTGTTCGCCCCTGTGAGGCCTCAACCCCCAAAGACACCAACAGCCCTTTGACCACGGAGGATCACCCTAATCCCTAAACCCTAAACCCTAAGCCCTAAGCCCTAAACCCTAAACCCTAAACCCGCCCTAAACCCTAAACCCTAAACCCTAAACCCTAAACCCTAAACCCTAAACCCTAAACCCTAAACCCTAAACCCTAAACCCTAAACCCTAAACCCTAAACCCTAAACCCTAAACCCTAAACCCTAAACCCTAAACCCTAAACCCTAAAACCCTAAACCCTAAACCCTAAACCCTACACTAACCACCTGGATGGGTTAGCCCACCCTAGAAACCCCTTTCAAAAAGGCCCTTTTTGGGGCTGATGATGGCTACTTGAAGGCCCAAGTCAAGAGCCAATCCTGGTAGGGCAGACCCCTTCGATCGTCAGAAGGTTTAGGGTTTAGGGTTTAATTAGGGTTTAGGGTTTAGGGTTTGGGGTTTAGGGTTTAGGGTTTAGGGGGTTTGGGGTTTAGGGTTTAGGGGGTTTGGGGTGTCGGGTTTGGGATTTAGCGCTTTGGGTTTTTTAGGGTTTAGGGTTTAGGGACCCCTAAGAATTCGTATAGACCGCCAGATGGTAGGATCCTCTTAGAAGAAGGACCCCAATAAGGTACCCCTCATGTCGCAGAACCCCCACATGGGTTTGACATGTTCCTTAACTACACTATTCGCTTAACAACCCCCCCCCCCCCCTCCCCCCTAAAAAACAGATAATTCTCCCTCTGTTGCCCGTATAAGGAAGAAATTTTCAGGGGGGGTTCGTAAGCAAATAATGTAATTAGTGAGGCTTCGGGTTCAGGGCGGAAACGAAGGGACCCGAAAGACACAGAAAGTTAGGCCGCTGGAAAGCTGCCAAGGAGACCTATGCTGTGGGGTGTAGGGGTTCAAGGTCCTTAAGGAAGGGGGTTTAGGGTTTAGGGTTTGGTGTAGATTCCTGGGGAACCCTAAACCCTAAACCCTAAACCCTAAACCCTAAACCCTAAACCCTAAACCCTAAACCCTAAACCCTAAACCCTAAACCCTAAACCCTAAACCTAATCAAGCTTAGGGTGCCTTAGGGAGTAGAAGGCAATGTGAATCTTGGGCTACATGCCCCACCCGGAACCCAGGACGGTAGGTTCAGCCTCCACCCTGAAACGGAAGCAGTGGGTTCTTGACCTACACCTGTCCTTAACCCTGACCCCACAAGCATCCGGAAAGAGGGAGCCTAACATCCTTCCACCATCCCTAAACCCTAATCCCTAACCCTAAACCCAAACCCTAAACCCTAAACCCTAAACCCTAAACCCTAAACCCTAAACCCTAAACCCTAAATTACCCTAAACCCAAATCCCTAGTCCCTAAACCCAAAGAGCCCTAAACCATGAACCCTGGAACCCTCACGCCTAGGCCTCTCAACAAGTGAACCCCCAAGCCCTGGCCCCCAAAGTAAAGGGCTTAAGGTTTAGGGTTTAAGGTTTGGGGTTTAGGGTTTAAGTTTAGGGTGTAAGGTTTGGGGTTTAGGGTTTAAGTTTAGGGTTTAGGGTTAGGGTTTAGAAGGGTCCATGTGCTCACGCAGTACAAGAGTTTAGGGTTCAGAGGATATACTTGGACATGAAAAGGGTTCCTGTATAATAGCGTGCAAACCTATATGAAGGGCCGAAGAACTCCTATTATACTTGGGCATTCATGGGTCCATATAGTAGCTTGAGGGCTCAAGTTTATCTAGGCTGCCCAGTAACCAAGGCTTAAAAGGGGTGCCCTTTTTTGCTGAAAGGGGTTTATAAGGGAACCTAAACCCCCCCAAAAAAGGGAAGAAGGGTACTACTGGGCATCCTAGTTATGCTCCGTAGGTACATGGGCCCTTCGGCCCCCCAACACTCCAGACAGCTCCCTCTGCAGGAGGGTCCATGAAGTGCACATCCGTGGACCCCCTAGCCCATAAATGCAAAGCCCTAAGTCTTCAGCCCGTAAATCCCAAGCCCTAAATCTTTTTTCCCTTAACCCCAAACAAGGAAGAAAACAACAAATTCCCCTACCTAAATAGAGAACATGGACCCTTAGGGTTCCGAACCCTGAACCCTGAACCCTAAACCCTAAACCCGCGAACTTCCAGTGCCTTCTCCCCAGGTGACCACCGCCCCGTTTCGCTTCAGCGCCGCAAAGGCCGATGCAGAGGCGAAGACGAACCTGGTCCGTAGGGTTTAGGGTTTAGGGTTCAGGGTTCAGGGTTCAGGGTTTAGGGTTTAGGGTTTAGTATAGGGTTTGGGGTTTAGGGTTTGGGGTTAGGGTTTAGGGTTTGGGGTTAAGGGTTTATAAGGCTTAGGGTGGTGCAGAGCTCACTTAGGGCTTCGGGTGGTTTAGGGTTACTTCAGGCTTTAGGGCTTAGAAAGAGGGGCCCCCCTAGGATCCTAACTCAGGCTATAAGTCCCCTAACTATAGTTATTATAGTAAGGGGGCCCCTCCTTGTAGAATGTCCCAAGAAGAAACTACCCTTGTTAAAATCGAACCCCGGATGCACTGGCGATCGAGAGTCTTGGAGGAAGGGCCATTCTTTTGAATAGGGTTTAGGGTTTAGGGTTTAGGGTTTAGGGTTTAGGGGGTCGGGTCTTGGGGTTTCGGGTTTACGATTTATAGGGTTTAGGGTTTAGGCTTAATTCATCTGTCGGCACATCTTTGCTAGAGGCGTCTTGAGGGGGGAGGAGGAAGAGTAATCAGCAGGAGTTAGGAGTTGGGACTTAGGGTTTACGACTGAGGGCAGGGTTTCAGAGTGCAGCTCACTCACCTGTGTGTCGACTGCAACCACCCTAAACCCTAAATCCTAAACCCTAAACTCTGAATCCTGAACCAAAAGTACATGGTCAGTTCTGTACAGGACCTTCCCTTTCGTTGTGGAACCGCTCTGGGCGCCTTGAAAAGCAGAGGGTGTTGTAAGTTAGAGAACTGAGAGAATATGCAAGCCCTCTTCTCCCTTCTGGGCGGAACCCCGAGACTAAGGGCAAAGGCCCTTAGGATTTAGGGTTTAGGATTTAGGGTTTAGGGTTTAGGGTACCTAACCCTAAACCCTAAACCCTAAACCCTAAACCCTAAACCCTAAACCCTAAACCCTAAACCCTCTATAAACCCCAAACACTAAACCCGCCGAAAACTGTAACCCAAATCCAGGTGACTCCACGTCGGACTGCAACGCTTCCGCCACCTTCTGCTTCAGGGTTGAGGACGGCGGCCCTATGCAGCCCACAAAGGCTAGGGTTTAGGGTTTGGGGTTTAGGGCTTAGGGTTTAGGGTTTTGGGTTTAAGGTTTAGGGTCGAGAGTTGGGTAGCAGGGTTTGTTCAGGGTTAGGGCTTAGAGTGCTTAAGGAAGAGAGCATAAGGTGGAGGATGTATGTTTAGAGGATACCGGCTTCGGTGTCGAAAGGGGAGAAAGGAAATACCTAGCTGCGTCGAGGTACACAAGACAAGCCTAGGCCCAAAGCCCTAAGCCCTCAGCCCTAACCCCTAAACCCTGAACCTTGAACCCTGAAACGTGAACCCTAAACCCTGAACCCTAAATCCTAAACCTAAGGCTTGAACTCTGAACCCTAAGCCCTATAAACCTTAAAACCTAAACATTGCACTTCTTAGAGCCCCTTGTTTACATTTGGGTGTAGGGGTTCAGGGGTTGAGGCATCCGGGGGAATTTAGGGGTTTGGGCTGTAGGGCTAGGGTTTAGGGTTTAGGGTTAGGGATGGGGTTTCCATGCCAGATGCTGCCACAAACCCTAAACCCTAAACCCTAAACCCTGAATCCACCATGTGGTACATCAGTAGACACCCTATCAAGACATCTCCTCCCAATTTCCAGCCCTGACATCCTAGAATCATCTCTGGGAGATTAAGTTCTCAAACCCTAGACCCTAAACCCGAAAAACCGAAACCCCAACCCTAACGCCTAAAACCTAAAACCTCGGAACCAGTGGACCCCAATATCGGGGCTAGCATTCATGGCTCCCCTGCCTGCTGTTGAGTCAAAACCCTAAAGCCTGAAACCCTAAGGTTCCACATAGCCCCAAAGTAGGTATTATGTATAGACTTTATTTAAACCCCAAAATAGGTATTTTGTTATATACTTGGAGCCCTAGGGTTAAACCCTACAGCTATCGAGATTAGACGGCGCTGGGGTTTGGGGTTCCCGCAAGAAATCCTAAACCCTAAACCCCTAAACCCCCAAACCCCTAAACCCTAAACTCCCCAGCCTCTGTCGCATCTCCTCCGCACAGCGGGTCGCCCCAGCAAGCCACCGAGCCTTCCACATGTTGGGTATTTCTGGACATAGGAGCATTGAGTTCAGGGTTCATGGCTAGAGCCTTTTTTATAGGAAACCCTACACCCTAAACCCTACTAACCCTAAACCCTAACCAAAATTCTGCGACACAGTTGAGTAGCCTCTGCTGCGACCAAGGCTGGCCATACACCCGCAATCCTAACTCACTGCGTTTTAGGGTTTCGGGTTTAGGGTTCAGGGTTTAGGGAGTAGCATGTCATCTGGGGGCCTCCAGGTACTACGGCTTCCCTTGTGGAGGTTCCTTCATAAGGAGCATATTGGACTTGCCACTAAGGTTGGTCAGAACTAGGGTTTTGAGAAGCCCTAAGCCTAAACCCTAAACCCTAAACCCTAAACCCTAAACCCTAAACCCTAAACCCTAGATGTCCTCCCCTTAGTCACCTTAGTCTCTTGGGCCCTGAAGACCCCGAGGAAATTGAGACCCCAGAGCCACAGAGGGTTTAGGGTTTAGGGTTTAGGGTTTAGGGTTTAGTCCCTCTGTGCGAGGGTCCTTGCTGCTTTAGGGTGGGGTGCATGCTGCATGGCTCAGTGCCTCTACAGCAGGTACTTGAGCCTTGAAGGGGCTCCTTTATCGTACAATCCCTAAACCCTAAACCCGAAACCCTGAACCCTAAACCCTAAACCCTAAACCCTAAACCCTGAACCCTAAACCCCAGACCCTAAACCCTTTGGGGGCCCAAGGATGAACCATGTAGGTACATGGACCCTTGGATATTGTATAGTGTGCCAAGTGGCCGTCACGGCGCAGAGCTGCAAAAGCCCGTTCAGTGTTGAAGATGCACACGACCTTCACTCGGTTTAGGGTTTAGGGTTTAGGGTTTAGGGTTTAGGGTTTAGGGTTTAGGGTTTAGGGTTTAGGGTTTAGGGTTTAGGGTTTAGGGTTTAGGGTCTGGAAGTCGCGAACGCTTCGCGCCCCAACCAAGTTGTAAATGACCCCGCCGAAAATGGTGTACAGCATGTACAGATAGCTAGGCTTTGCGTCTTTTGCCGGACAGAAGCACAAGTGCCCTAAAGTGAGGTAGACCCCCTTGCTATGCACATCGAAGCTATGAGAGCAAGGGTCTACCCCACGCCCCGTTTAGGGTTTAGGCTTTAGGGCTTAGGCTGCACTGCTCAAAATACCCTAACGCATATATGTCGAGCCGGACCGGATTTCATGCATTGAGTATGAACCATGAGTTCATGGGTGTACGTAGGAGTTGCAAAAGCAACCTCCATACTGACGGACTCTAGCAAAAAAGAGACGGCTTGCGTGCAGCAGAACACAAGCAGACTGCAGCGAAGGTGGCGCCAAAACATCAAGAAGCAACTACATGTTGGGGTCGGGGTATGTTTCGCGGATATGTTTCGGGGTATGTTTCGAGGGTATGTTTCGGGTATGTTTCGCGGCATCATGAGCTACTTTACCTGCAATTTCGGGGGTATGTTACGGGTATGTTTCGGGGGTATGTTTCGGGGTATGTTACAGGGTATGTTTCGCGGGTGTGCAACCCGTGTGCCCTTCTGAAACCTGAGATACCCAGACCTCAGGGAAGATCCAAAAAGTAGATCCCCTTACGGGTTCCTGAGAATGAGCCAATAGTAGAAGAGGGTAGTAATTTGGGGTTCTATTTTTGGGGGTCGGGGTAAGATAATGAACTGAGATGGTAAGGCGGGTAACGGCTGCAAGCGCGTGCATACATGTCCGAAAGTTTGCGGACAGGCGCGCGCCACTGTGCAAATGCGCGTGTGGTTTGCATGCACTCTGCGTAAAAGCGAGCCTATCACCTTCTTCCCACTTTTTGCTGCCTGAAGCTTAATTATACATTAACTACATTTACTGCCCGGCCGTGCGCCTGTGCACAGGTGTGGGGCAGCGCGCGTACGTTGTGCTCGCGTAATTCGTGCAGATGCGCGCAGCCCGCACGCACATGCTTCGCAGCATATATCCTGCCACACAAGACCGCCTCACTGCCGCACACGGGCACACACGCTGCTTACGCGGCTGCCTCCCTCGCACATGCAACCGTCACCTTCCAAGGCCTCCAGTGTCTACTTTCGCGGGGGTGTGGCTATTTTAGAACCCCTATCCTCAGCTCTATACTATACTCCCTTTAAGGCCTTAATAAAAATAGTGTTTTTAAATATCCTCTTGGGTTTTATATGAACAAACATATAAAACAATTCCCCAAGAGGGATATAGCATAGAAATCTAAAGCCATGTCCTCCCCTACCAAGCGCCAAGGATTCTGCAATCTGCTGAGGGCTTCTACGGCGTGGACGTCTTTTGATCGTTCTGCAGGGTACTCATAACTTTGAAAACTTGTGAACCTCATCAGTGAGCCACATTAAGTCTTCGCGCCATGTCCACTTCTGGTTCTGAAAGCTTTAACCCTACACCCTAAACCCTATAAACCCTAAAGCCCAAACCCTAAACCCTAAACCCTAAACCCTAAACCCTTGCTTTGCCAGCCTCTTCGAAGTTCTGACGAAAAGACTGCCCCTCGACCAAAAGGCGCCAGATTGGAAACATCTTCTACCCTATTCTGCTTCGAGCCCTCATGCAGAAGCCGGCCCTAGACCATGCTGCTTAGGGTTTAGGGTTTAGGGTTTAGGGTTTAGGGTTGAGGGTTGAGGGTTTAGGGTTTAGGGTTTAGGGTTGAGGGTTTAGGGTTTAGGGGCTGCATTGAGGTCGATCTGTGAGACAACAGCCACTCCGGATTCAGAGCGGGCATATCATGGCTCTGGCCTTCCGCAGGGCATTTTGTGCCAGCACGCCGGGCTTGCATCCCAAAGGATCCATGTACCTATATAGGTTTAGGGTTTTAGGGTTTTAGGGGTTTAGGGGTTTAGGGGTTTAGGGTTTAGGGTTTAGGGTTTAGGGTTTAGGGTTTAGGGTTTAGGGTTTAGGGATAGTATATATTTGGGCCCTAAAGCTACTATATAGGAACCCCTTGAAGGCCTAAGTATATACTATATGGGTACATGGATCCTTAGGGCATCACCTGCAGCTGCTTGGAGGTGGTAGAGCTCGCGCTCGCCGCCTGCGGCTGGAGGTTCGGGTTGCGGATGTGCTGCGCGCGAGGCCCACACCAGTTTCTCACGTTGGCCTGCAGGCCCTGCACATCCGAGGGGACGACGACGACTCTACCTGAATCCCCCGCCGCGGCGGTGAGCATGCGTTTGTGCCATGCGTTCTGAAATACACGAGCGATCACGGGGTTGACGAAGTTTACAAAAAGGCGTAGCCTTTGTGTTGCTTGCAGTCCGTGGTGTACGGCAGGTAGCAGAAGTCATAGCAGTGCTGGAAGCCGAAGTTGTTCAACTGCTCCCCCCCCCTCTGCGAGGAAGGGAGCCTCAAACCAACCCACTGGACTGTTTCCTCATCGTCAGTGTCTGGAGGCTCACACCGCTCCACATGTCCGGCACAGGGGTCCGAGTCAAGCTCGGAGAAGGCTTCGCTGAGTTCAAAGGGTGTGTAGCCGGAGTAGCTGCGGGAGCGACGGAGGGTGCTCTGAACGGGAGAAGATCGAAGGTGAGGAACGACCGTGGCAAAGGTGGCAGACGAGATTCCATGAAAGCCATGGCTGAGAGTTCAGGTTCCCTAAACCCTAAACCCTAAACCCTAACCCCAAACCCTAAACCCTAAAGTTAGGTTCCGGATGTAAGAAAGCGCTCGCCTGCCCCAGCACGGAAGCTTGATTCCAAAACATCTCGGTGGCATTCCTTTTCACCCTTCCAAGTTCTTCAGCTGTAAAAACTAAATCTTAAACCCCAAACCCTGAACCCAAAACCCTGAACCCTAAACCCTAAACCCTAGACCCAAAACCCAGGTTGGCCCCGTCTAAACCCTCAATCAGATTGAGACCCTCTTGAAGCCAACAGGGGAACATCCAGCTTGCAGGGGTTTAGGGTTTGGGGTTTAGGGTTACCTAGAAACCGACAACCAAAAAACTCCTGACACCTGAATTGCTAAACC